GCTCAGCTATAGAAGGAAACAGACGTTTAGCACGGAGCACGTTTATTCAGTAGATAAACCACGCTCACTCCACTCATTATTGTTTAAAATATCGATTATCCAAACGTGTGGTGTGTGATAGACTTACATCCACGTGGTGCACCCAGGGCAAAGCGTAATTCGGCAATTGACTTCTAACTTCCAACTACCATCACCCCACTATATGTCATATTCGACTAATTTCACAGTACTTACATCACCATTTTTCTACCTTTGTGTCTGTCTCTATTACTTCTTTGAAACGCTCTTCTGTTCCCAACCTTTTTCAATTTGATTTTGCTTCCTCTCTAGGTCGCCTGAAGTCAACTAAGGGGCCATTGATAACTATCAAAAGGCCTGACATCTGATATAAATGAATTAGTATATGAATTTGCACTATAATCCACTCGCAAGGATATGCCTCCATAAGTGGTTCCAAAAATCGGTATCGTCTAATTTCAATCTAAAATAGAAGATGTATGCTGCCAGGGTGTAGGAATGATTGTGACTAGTTAATAACTATTCGCATTTGTCGAACTTAATATTTATTCCAAGTATTCTACCCATTATTGTTTAAAAATAACGTTTATCCAACGAATTAATAAAATGAGCCATAATGAAACTCATAAAGCTCAGAGTTCTTGACATAAAAGTGGAATTGAGTTTTCATTCTCCCTATTTTTTGTATCAATATCATTTAACTTGTGCTCTAGTTTGAGTTAAACGTGCACCTAATTGCAATGAAATTAGGCTGATGACTTCCCCTAATGTAACTTAATTGGTACATTTGTGAAAACATAGTTCAAAGAGATTGACAGGTTGATTGAACACCATTGATTACATCAGTTGGAATCATCAGTAGTTCAATGCGCCACCTTCACACAGGTTCTGGAAACCAATAATTGGAGATAAGAGAACCATTGTGTATAAAATAATAATCGTGAGAGAAGGAGAAATTGGAGGAATTTCTTGTACAACTTTCAAACATTTAATGATATTAAGCATTCACAAACGGTTCTTAGTTTTCATTCTAATTTAAGTGTATAAATCAATATTAGGCTAAGGGTCATAGACCTAAGGAATAGATATAGAACTCACCTTAAGGAAATTCTACTTATAAGCAAGATGTATCTTCCTAACCGTGCACGGGAGTATATATGCGTTAGAAAGACACTCAAAACCTAAGTGATTAACACTTGTAATAACATGAAATAAACGCTTCGAAAGTATTACGAATCTAAAACAATTATTAAATAGTTAACTCATATTTACGAAGGCCTGTGTGAATGAAGTATTGATAATTCATAAATTAGTACAGAAGGCAAATTAGACTGTTTAATTGACGTTGATATAAGAATATCATTGTCAAAGTAAATGACATAGTGAAACAAAAAGAGTAATTCAGAGCCTGATCCTTAAACGCACATAACGTGCCACTCTCAAGTAACTTCAATAGAATAAACATCCATAATAGTTACAATAAAAGATCATTGGAAGATTTATTTTAAACATATGTGTACATGTATTATTGGATAATATATTGATTACATCCCATAATATCGATGTATTAGCATTTTTGACTTAAAAAGAATTAATAATAATTAGGTTAAAAACATTAACGAACAGCGTACATATGTCAAAGTTATTTGCAACATTCATAAACATGAAGATACTTCATTTCACAACAAAATTTATGTAAAACGAATTTAATTATTCATGTTTGAAATATACATCCACCTCTAATTCATAATTTACTTTAGTATTATTTGTGATCTATATTGGTTTCAGAACTAAAAATAATTAAGGTTTATTCGACTTGAAACAAAATTGTTTATCTCGCTTAAATGTCGTTCAAAGGTCATACGAGCCCAATCAAATGCATACCTTCTCGATATATTAACGCGTGTCTCTTGTGTGGATCTGCTACTTGTGCGTCTTTCAGGGTATTATTTTAGTCTAACGAAATTGTAAATGCACGAATCATCCACAGGATTACCTATTAATATCAACATATCTACGATTGGATATTGCAATCCAACTTATTCACCTCAATTTCGCGTTGGCAAATCATGTCTTTCCATCGATTCATGAAACTTACCTCATACACCGAGGATAATCTATCTGTTATCAGCAATTCTGTCTACTGCGGAAGTATTATAGATGGAATTCAATGGATTTACTGGGGTTCCAAAATTATACAACACGATAACAAAAGATTCCGTTTGCGTATAATCGAGCAATGCGGTTTTATTGACGACCATCTATTCAAGTCATTAGGACCCTCATCAGAATCTGATATAGAACGATGTTTTGAAAGTATGATTCGCGTTGATTCACCCAAAACGGCCTATGTTTGCAAAGACCAAGTTGGAAATGAGTGGAATTACTATCGTGAAATTCTTGAGCCTGGAGATTTCATGGTGGATGTTTTTATAGAAGTGGTGGATAGTACTCTCACTGGTAAAGCTGCTGTCTCACAACAAAATTTTCTCAAAAAGGCACTTACAGAACTCCGAAAACGTAGAATTCCCTTCGTTTTCGCCTCTTCGAAACGCGATTGTGAAGTGTCTCCTGAGAATAAGGAGTTTTTGAAGCATCTGCTACATAAAGTCTGCAAGTCGCTAAAGAAGACACGATGTTGTAGGGTCGAAACTTCGGCCAGACTCAACATCAATGTTTATCAAGCATTTCTTTCTGCCGCATTGCTGTGCACGCCCTCTTCCAGTGAGATAAATTGCAAGTATTTTCCATACCATCCTCCTCTAAGTGTTGCTCATCAATCTTCTCTGAACCCTAATTTACGTTTTCGATAAGAGTTATGCTTTTAATTTATGCTTTAATTTTCCACCGTGAAAACAGTGAAATCAACATTTGACTGTTGGATACATAATTGTGTGTAAAATTTTTTCATAAAATCAAGATCGTGGATGCTTACCTTGAATGTTTTCAGCCCTCCAAGTACTTTCCATCAAAGCATTGCACGAGTTAATTTACTTCGAATGAAAGTGATTTACCTGGAGTTTGAATTATATGCTTTAAAGCTATCAATTGGCATGCTCGTCTCGTAAGGAAGCGTTGGAAAATATGCTGATATTTTGGATATATTTTCCATGAAGGTGTTAAATTTATTCTTTTTTATTTAAAATACCTTTTCACCAAGTAATTGTTTATTCGAACTAATGAATGATATTGAAGATGGCACCTTTTTTCCGAAGAAGCAGCTGAATTTTGTTGTATGAAGTCCTAACGTCTTCAAATCCTCTCCCTCTTCTGTTGCTAGTTTTTGCTGATAATTTGATATTGTTAGCTGAACTTGCATTAGTGGACTTTTACCTCTAGTTACGCACTTTGCAGAAGAAGAATGAGATGATGATGATGATCTTTGGAATTCCATAATAGTTTCCTTTGTCCCAAGGTGAATTCGACCTGATACATGTCAAACAGTTTCATTGAATTGAAATCTTGTACCATGTTCTTTCAAACGGGTTCAGGGTTTTGCACCAAATCCGGATGAAACGTCCTCGAGGCATATTAAGATAAGATGGTTTTAATGCAATTGGCAAAAGTGCAAATCAATTCATTTGGACATTCAGACTTAAAGTCAGAAATCTCTTGATTTCAGCTCATCTCCCTGTGTGAGTGATGCCAAAAGCATAATGGAGCATAAGGGCCAAAACAATCTAGATTTTATTGATAATAGTGCATTCGGAGTTGCTTTCTTGTAATCTTGGAATTTGGAAATGTTCTTTAATGTTGAAGTTATGTTAAATGTTGAATTTGGCAATTGCGGAGTTAACTTTATTAACTTGTTTCCTTATGTGTTTCCACAAACTCAGACCCTCAACTACGTTTTCCTGCACTTGTCCACGTCGACTTCTGGTTCACTCAGTGTTTGAGCGTCGTCGGACTCACTTAATGTCTTCACTTCGTCGAGAGGCCACAAGCGTACACTCTCTCCTTCCCCCATCCGTCCACTCCCTTGCTTTAGGTGCTGATGCTGACAAGCCTTCTAATCCCTACTGGCCACATCGTACTTTGGCCCTGTTGTCGAAATCTCTCTGTAATCAAGCTGTCCCACTGACGCCGAAAAACGCGACTCCAAAGAATAGCGTGGGGGTAGGTATCAGGATTTGTGAACGCGAGGAAGGCAACGAGGAGGTCTCAAAGGATTGCGTTTCCCAGTCGGTGGTGCAGCGACTGTGGGAGATTACATCATATGCTGAAAGGAAGATGGAAAACTCGAGGTATTTTATACTTCATAGTTAATCTTGGAGGCGATTGTTACAATTACTAAAATATATATATATGGCAGGGAGGTCGCTCAGTGGTGGAACAAAGCAAGTTACCTTTCGATAACATTATGTTTAGGTAGTAGGCGCCAATTTCCTAGTTCTTATGCAATGTAGTAGTGGTTTCGTATACTCAACGTTCAGGACTCTTGTAGGTTGTAGGCATCGATGACGACCGTAATTTGATTATGAATGTCCACTGTGCTATTTTTAAGCTTTCAACTAATTATATTTTCTACTGTCTGTTCCTCTTGTCTCAGATCAAGTATTTTGTATTTTTTGTTCTTGTTAGCTATGTCACTCTCAAGGAACTACACTTTCTCTCTAAGAAATTGCGTGTGATTTAGTATTATTTTGGGATCTACAATAGCAAATTGAGCACTTATTTTAAAATAAAATTCAGTTTGTGTCTAGACGCGATGTAGGAAACAACTCTCCCTAAGTTCGCTTCTTATTAGATAAATTGTTAAATAGTTATTTCTTTGTGGGCGTTGGATTTGGTTTTATTGTAGAGGGTAAAAATGTGCCAGTCAGATCTTGCGTCTAACTACTTCTTTCATCAGAGCTTGAACTCCACCAAGGCATTATTGAGAACTGTGATCAAGTGCCTTACCGTCTGCCGATGTCACGTTCGGTTGAAAAGTAATAAACCACGTAAAATGAATTTGAATTATATTCCAAAATCAGACGGTTTTGAAAATTTGATGATGACATATTGAAATCCATTGCTGAACCAGCTCTTCTGTTTACTATGTAAGGATTTTCGACGAAACGTGTATTTCTCTTGAAGGGTAGCGGTAAATTGTGCTCGTGGGGAAATTGGGTGCTACCACACCAACACTCCAATTATAACAAAGATGAATGAAAAATCCAAGTGCATTTCTTTGTTGGCAAGACAACAAGATGTTACTGCGTTCAGGAAGTGAACTGTTTATACACAACCACGTTGGTTGGATATGTTAAAGGCTGTTTCCAAATCGAACACCCATTGCAATGCCTAGTCTAAGCTTTCGGAAACTTCATTTCAGCATTTGATGGCTTGTACCTGGAAGAAACCATTACGAATAGTTAAAACCACGCAAAACTGTCAAAGTTGATTGTTTTCATCAATGGGAAGCACTGAAACAGAATGAATAGGTCAATGGCCAAGTTTATTTAAGAGAAAGGCCATGACATTGGTCTTCTTTTCATCTGCTTCAACATGTATTCGTTCTCATTTTTAGTGCTCATTTGGAATTCGCCAAACTTGCCTCCTTTCCATTTCTTCGGACGGTGGAACAAGAAATTGGCAAAATTTTCTCCAATGAGGTCAAGTAGGACTGTTTTGAGTATCTTTAATCGATTTCTCGATGTCATTAAGTGTCTACTACTGGTCAAATTGCTAATTGTAGAGATAAAATGCCATGGCTAAGAGCTTACGTTGGTCAATCTGATTCAGTCTACCTGTTTCTGAAAGCCCTGAATATCTCTGTTGGCACTCATGACCACCAGCGCTCCGCCGGTCGATTGGTAATTGAAATACATCGATTCCATTCTCAGCAGGTATCTTTATCTCCCNTTGGTTGGGGGGGGGGGAGGGGAGGGGCGAAACAAGCAGAAAAATTTCCCATAATTTCTCTCTTTTTTCCTTTTGCCATAAATTACTTCAATCAGTCTCAAATTGTCACCTCAAGGAGCTATCAAATTTGGAACATCTAAGATATCGATGTATAATCTGTGTGTTTGTTCTTAACTAACAAAGGTGTAAGTGTGTTGTCTTGGTGCCCCTGTCAAAATCCCTTAAAATATTGTTGCCTTTTATGTTGCCAGGATGCGATAAACAGGAATTGGCGAAGATGTTGGCATAGGGAATGAGGATGGGTGATTTTACTATACAGCACACAAATATTGCCTCGTGAGCTCGAACCCACTGTTACTATAACTCAAAGGAATTTGGGAAGAAGAATTAGTCTTCAGGTTGTGGCGAACACTACACTAACATGGCTGAAATAAGGAATATCATCCCCATTCACACATCCTGGATGCTGATCGTGTTGGGGAGAAAATGAGGTCACGAGGACAGAGATCTCCCATCCAACCAACAACCAATAGTCATTTTAGGGGCAGAATACCCAAAACAGCATTTAATGAAAAGGCCCTGTGCCACTTTATGGTATGGAAGATGCATACCACATATTCCACTTCGATTTTCCTTTCGATATTATTGAAGCAGCTTACCTAGTTTCGGGAGCCATTCCTTTCAAGAGGATTTAGCTATTGAGATAATTTGATACAAGTTAGGGCTTAATACTGAATCATCCCTCTATCATACCTATATATTTTTAAATATGGATATTGATTTGTGAATTTGAGAGCTTTTTCTTGTTCTCATAAGCTAAATATGCAAATTGGCAGATTCCTGGGCATTAAAGCTTTATAAAATTCCCTTGAAGACTTTGAACTTTGAGCAAATTGTGCTGGCCATCCTGCTAGAAGTTAGTAAAGTAGACAATAATTTACTATTGAAGTAATTAGGGGAGTAAGTGCGTTAGTATTATAGAACTTCTTAGAATGATTTCGAAGTGAAAGCGAACTAGGCAAGCAGGACGGGAATGATGAAATTTTAGCGATTTGTTAAAGTGGGAATACATACATACACACATGTATATGAAAGTGCATCCGGGAGTGCAAATCAATACTGTATACCGATCAATAATTACAAAATAAACAGGTGCGATATCTTCATTCTAAGGTATCGATCTAACAAGTTAGTTTCTTTTCTGCTTCATTATTCTTGTGATTAGAAATGTTGAACATAACTTACCAACTTTTAGTATTGAAGGACATCTTTCAACTCTTGCTATACTCACAGTGGAATGCAAATGCGTGAAATAAATTACAATGCCATCCAAACACGTGATAATGACTAAAACATTCCTATTAA